GCAGCTATGCTAAAAATTGTATACAAATGATATAAAACAAACATATTTTAACAAATAAATCTACTTCTATGAATCAGACTGTAGCAAACTTTGACAAGTAAAGTAGGTACCATGTTATATCAAAATAGTAAAAAGTATTTGATATAATATACTTGATTAGTATTTTGAATAAATATCTTTATAATTTAGTATACGTATCTAACTAATCATATAATAGGATTCCATCACCAGACATTAACATAATTCTAATTGTCTCAATATCAATATTGCACTCATGGAGAAAGCAATAAGAATAAAAAAAAAATATTAACAATTTATTCTATTTTATACAAAATTAATTATCAAAAAGGATAATAGAAATTTTTCATATGTATTATCAAATACATATATAGATGTATGTACATAGATATTGGAATTTCTCCGCAGCAAGGAAAACAGGGCTGTGGATATTTATTTTGAGAATAATATAAACGGACAATGCATTGCACGTACAATTGGTAACGAAACTAGAACGATGGAAACAGCGATGACAGAATTTCTGTCCTGGTTCCTACCTTTAAGCTCGTCAAAGTCTACCAGACTCAGCTGAAGGTTACCTTTCTCCTCCTCTAATAATGCCACTTGATTCCCCAACCTGACAAGTTCCGCGTTTGTATCAGACACCTAAATTATGAAATCACATATAGATAAATTCCATTGTTGTTGTTATTATTATTATTATTATTATTAGTATTAGTATTATCAATAGTAGTAGTAATACTAGTAGTAGTAGTAGTAGTAGTAATATTATACAATAGTAATTCTTTATATTATTAACATGAGAAATTAATTTTAAAATTAAGAGTTCAAGATTGATAAATTTTTAATGTTATACTGGCTAAATTGAATATTTATTGTAACCGTGAAAAATAAACCATAACGTTTTACCTTTTTAAAGTTATCCAATTGCTTTTGCAAACTTTTTACTTTACTCTTATGTTGTGCTTTCATTTTTATCATGCTTTTATTTAAGGCTTCCAATTCTTTAATAAGTTTCGCCACATTTTCATTCTCTTTACCAGTACTTTCTTCCATCAATCGTGTAGCAATATCATTTTTCTGTTCTTCAAGCTCATGTACCGAATTTTCAAGATCAGTTATTTTATTTAAATATTCTTCATTTTTCAAAGTTAAATCTGCTACTTGCTTTTGTAATTCTGCTTTAGATTCTTCTTCAAGAAGCTTATTGGATTGTTTTAGCTCTTCTATCAAATTTTCAAGTTCAAATATTCTATTATCTTTTTCTATCATACCTCCATTACCATGCGCAGATATGATTATAAGTTCAGCTTGTAATTCGGCAAGATTTTTTTGTAACTGAAATCTCTCATCTTGTAATTGCTTATTACTATCTTCTAATTTTTCTAACTTGAACTGCAAATCCTCAACAGTTGGATCCCTTTCTATTCCAAAACCAGATTCGAGTTTAAATACTCGTTCATTAGCTTCTGCTAATTTTAATTCATAATTTTGTAATTGTTGAAGCAAATTGTCATTTTTCGCTTTTAGTGAAGATTCTATAAGTACGAAATTTTCTTGCATTGATTTCATGGCTTCTTTTGTTTCCATTAAATTATCCATCGTGGAACGAGAAAAATCGGCACTTGCTGATTCGGCCAATTTTTGCTCATTAACTTGCTTCTCGAATCTAAATAAAAATAAACAATGAATGTATTTAATCAACTACAAATAGATAATTGAAAAAAATATTTTTTCTTATAAAATTACCGATCAATAGAATCTTCTAATTCTCCTATTTTAGTATCTCTTTCTTGCAATTGTGATAAGAGACTTTCATTTTTATGTTTCAATGAAGTCTCTAAAAGTACAAAATGCTCCTGCATCGTTCGCATTTCGTCTTTCGTATCTTCGAGAGTGTCCAACGTCGTTTTACCCTTTTTTGACAGATCTGCAGACATTAAAGTAACTGCCTTTGTTTTAGATTCAATAACAGAATCTTTTTCTTTCAAGTTTTCCTGAAGATCTATAATAGTGGCTTCAAGTTCTAAAATTTTACTACTAAGTGCAGCAATTTTATTTTCTTTCTCTTGTATATCCTCAATTTGCCTTGGTGCCATGACCTGTAATTAAAATATTAAACATAATTTTAAATAACTTAATAAAAAATATGTCAATAAAAAATTGTACAAGTTATTTACTAACATCAGAAGTAATCATGACAGGCTTAATAGATGTAACAAGGAGCTGATCTTTTTGAAAACCAATTGTTGCTTCTTTTTCTTCTAATTGTTGCCTAATAGCTTCTACTTTTTCTTCAACTGCTCGTTTAGTTTCACTTATTTCTTTGTTACGCTGTTCGAAAGCCTTTCTATTCTCTGCCAACTTCTTTTGGAGTAAAGTAGACTTTGCTTTTGCAGTTTTTGCTTGACTAATATCATCAACTGTTTCTTCAGATGTGTCTGCTACAGTTGTCTCAGATGTATGTGTTATATCTTTACAAGGCAAATTTCCTTCTTTACTTCGACGTGACGACATAGCTCTATTTTTAATATTGGAAAGTCTCCTTGCATATTCCTGAATGTAATTTGAAATTTAAATGAAACACTCAAATCTTTTCACTGAATTTTTACAAATCAATATTCATTACCTGAACTTCTTCTTCTTTCTTCTTTAAACTTTGTTTATTTTTCAACATAATTTCTTTAAGAGATTCCAATTGGTTTTTATTTTGTTCACATTTTTCTTTTGCATGCACCATAGATTCCGATGCCTCCCCTTCCATTGTTCCTGGAGGTTCTTCTGATGCACTCCACATTATGAACTGTAGAATTAACAACAATAGAAACCACTTCATTATAATTTATGCAAGACAGATTTAAACTCTTCTAGGTGGGAAATTATGAAGTCAATGGCAGTGAAAGTTTCTATAAAGTGGTCAGACAGTGTGTCACCCACTGCTCTCATTTTCATAGACTAATTGGATGAAAGCTTGACTAAAGTAAACTAATTGTATTATCTCTGTGTATAGATATTGAATGTTGGGATACACATCAGTTACCTTGTGGCATATTTAATGCTTACAACATAACATTTAAGTAGGAACTTTTTCAATGACATCTTATATAAAGAATCAAATAAAGAAAAAGTAAATGTTATAATCATTTCACATATATTCTTTTCATTAACGATTTTGTATCTGTAGTATGGATTAATTTTAACATAAAATAAATTCATATTTAATTTAACCCTTGAATGTTTAATACCTTTAAATGTTTTCTGACACTTTATTTGTAAGTATTTGTATATTTATGTGACAAAGTTAAAAATATTACAATAAGTGTATATAATACACACAGATATTCATATAATTCATATATATTACAAAATTGTTAAACAAAAACTACATTAAGAGATTTAAACAGGTGGACTTACGATAACATGATACATATGGCTGTCCAATGATAAGATGAAGTTAACCTCAAAACATTTTTAATCAAAAATACACACTAGATTTGAAATATAAAACATGAAATCAATATAAAAAGTAACAAGTAAAATTAGGAGACAACTTTAAATGTATTACGAAGTGACGTAATTCATGACATGAAAAAAAAATATACTATAATAATTGTTAATATTGAAAAATGAATAGTACATACGATCCAACCGACTTCTATATATATACAAAATGTATATGAATGTTTTTAAAAAAACACGATATTTTGAAAATTTTATTTACCTTTATTTATATTGCTGAAATTGTCAAGATGGAAACACGTCACTATTCGTGCACATATTTTGTTACGGTGCTTTTACCACTTACATCTGTGTGCAATTAGAATTGAATATATACATGTCTAGTTATCTTTACAATATTTACAACAATTCTACTAATAATTACATACGAGTACTATGCAAATTGTAATACTACACTTCAAAATGTAAAGTCTACATCACTCCCTTTTTAGCCGGAAACAGTTGGACATTCTAAGCACATATGTGCTGCCACATCACGGATATTTTTGTTACTCTCAAATAGTTTACAGCAGAGATTTAAAATAGGATGTATAATTCAACATAGTATGCTTTCTCATATTTTTTTCACATTTATTATAATTTTCATTCTAATATTAGTAAAGTACTTTAATTTTTTAATTTTTCTATTTTAAATTTTATTCGTATCTAATAGATAAAATTACTTGAAGTACAAACATGCAATAATTAAAAAGATTTACGACTAAACATAAAATTTTTTCATAAACAATTTCTTATTTAAAATTCAAGGCAAAGTTTCAAAGGTATGCAAAAGATGGTAAGTACATATCTAATAAATCACCTATTGAAATTGCATTGTGGATGCAATGATTTTTTACTTTTTATTAGCTGGCTATTAGTAATTAAACCTAATTTGTAAATGTGTAAATCTTTATATCTATGTTAATTATTTTTAACTTCTTCACTTTTACAAATCACCAGTCAATATTCAATAATTAGATTATTACACATTGGAAATAAAGAATTATAAAAAGAAGAATTATAAAGAAGAATAATCTCATTGTAGCCAGCCGCGTACGTTTCAATATACATTGCAACACAACAGGTGGTAACAGCTGAGTCGTATGTGACAGAAGACAGTCCAACAACCTACTGTATACTCATAATAAAACCGGTTCTTTTGCATAATACATTTTTAAAACATTTAATTATTTTCTATTATTTCGAATGGAAATGTCATTTTGCAATGAAGTTTGTTTCTTTTTTATCACATCTCTCATAATACTTTTAATGAAAAAGAGAAAATATATAATCCTAACCTAATGCGAAAAGGTGAATACACAAGAGTATATATAGACTGCATTGTACGCTATAGAACATCGTTTATTATATAGATATATAGGTATATATATGTATACATATAGATGTATAGTACACATGAAAGTGTATGTACATACGTATACATATATATATATGTATATTCGAGCTGTGAGGTACGCGCTTGGTGCTACGGCGCATTTGCCAGTATCAACGGTCTGCGTTTATCGACTATCGTGTGTTCTATGGCAAATGCAATCCATTGACTCCAAGCACCAAAATTTACGTGGTTGTTTTCGTAAACGGTACCATAGTCAACCATGATGGATGTGCAGAACCAGTACAAAGGTAGGATAAGCATTTCGTTTCCTTTCTGTTGACAATCGAATAAAACACGTCCGAACGATTCGAGAGAACCGAAGACGGTCCAGTATGACAGTTACCACGAGCAAAACTGCAATTCGTTGAACCGTGTTTTCGTTTACTACGCTGTTCATCGCCACTCAATCACATTCCTTTCCCTTTGTTACATCTTTCAACTTATTCTATAAATTTGAATGTGGCGTCGATACGTACATATGTATATGTACTTTGACGGGCATTCGACCATTGGCGTACATTTTTGGAGGGAAGGAAGCTGTAAGCGTAGATGTGTAATAAATAAACGCGTGTTAATTGATCGAGCGCGTTTATTCATTGTTTATTCTATTAGATAAACGTGATTTATGTAATTGTAATAATAATTAATTGAGATCATTTCTGTTTTACCGACCTGCTTAGAACAACGATCAGAGACACAAGATGAACGGTATGAATTTAATCAATAACGAAATTTGTGTTTTCATCGAGACATTAATATGACCCCATTTATCACGTCGTGCAATACGATAGGAGTACATTTCGTTTCTGTTCATAAGCTTCCGTGTAGTGGTAATACGTATCCTGACTCTTTTTTATTGGAAAAAATGCAATGCATAAAATACTATCAAATTACAAATTATAAACTTTGAGTACTTGAAATTATTTTCACCAACTGTTGTTATGATTCTAAAATTAAAAATACTCTATTGATATAAATAATAATTAATGTCTGTAATTAAATTACTTTCAAATTTATGGCAAATTCAAAAATGTCAAAGGTGTCTTTTTGATACAAGTCGAATACGTTCACGAAAAAATTAAGGATGAACAATGATAATAATAAATCGTATAGAGATGGCATGAACAAAATAAACATTGGATGCATTGTTCTGCATTGAATTTTCCTCTGCACTGTTTCAATTAATTACATTTAAATTACACGATATACATCTCGTGATTGTATGCAAGGTAGACGTAATGCTTTGTAAATCGAACTAGCGTTCCAGATAAAAGTAGTATTCATAATCCATATTGTCCAACAGATTATTGCACCAATATGAATAGAATAAAATTATAATCGTACCGTTTGGATATAAATGCGAGCATAATAGGGTAAATTATGCGAGGGCAATGTTTGACCTTAATCGGATTAAACTATCACGTGCGATTCAATTTTCGAATCAAGTCATATAATAAATAGAATTTCTAGGTTGAAAACGACTTTAGTGAAATACAAGATGTCCATATAGATGTGAAAATATGATAGCGTAAAGGAACAAAATTCAAGTTTCATGGTCAGTTCAAAGTCCCTTTGCGTGTTTTTAAAAAACTGTACGTTGTTTTTTTTCCGTTTACGTTGTTATATCTCCTAGAAAAAATGAGAAGAAAATATTCCGTTTTTTTTTTTTTCGTATTTTATTAGGAATCCCAAAAATAAAGTTCACCGTTTATTTTCCTTCTGAAGTATGAATTTCTTATTCGTGCGAATTGCAATTAACGAATTCAATAGACGAAAAAAATAATTTCCTTTTTTATTATATGTCATACAATATTTTAATGTATCATACGAATTATGCAGTTATTTATGAATGGTATTCAATTTGACTTGCTGATGCTTCAACGTTACACTTCACCTTTAATTTCGCTCGACATTTAAGGAAGCTGTTTATATACTTAGCATTTGGATTACATGCTCCTTCTAACATAACTTACCTAAGCCTTTAACCCGTTTACAGAGTTTTATGTTTGCACAAGTAGTTAAAACACAAGATCATTCCTTTGTTTTCGTGAGAAAAAATGGTACAGAAATAATTCTTTGGAACAGAATTTTGTTTAATACATTTAAAGAACATATTTATTAATGAAGCGCAATAAAAAAATTCATACAAGTTTATTTAACATCTGCAAGTAAATATTAATGATTGATTAGTTACAAATTTCTATTGAAACGAAAGATGAACCTTTCGAGCACTTTAGTGATAATCGGGCACATGTTGATCAAACAAAAGGCTCACTAGATGACGTAATAGGAAGGTTAAACAAGTCATACGTTATAAAAACTTGTTCGATTATTTTTCGTTATTATACTAATTATTCAAATGAATTCGACGAATAATTGAATGTTTAAACAATATAAAATTCATATTAATAAGAATCATTAAAAGATTCTTAAATAATATTTTTCATAAAAAAATTGATTTCTCTTTTTCTGTATTTTACTTATATTCGTTTACATACATACATTACCAATATACACTTCGCAATTCGACGAACAGTGTTATTACAATTGGATGTATGAGAATGAAAGGTTTTTAATATTTTAGTATTTGACGAAAATGTTGGAATTAGACTGATAAAGAAATACTTTTACTTAGCTCGCGTATAAGGAAGTTAAACATTAGCATAGTGTGTAAAAGCGAAAGATACTGCAATCAGATCCGTTCGTGTAGAACTAGTACGATTCTACATGGAAAGCGTCAGATAATAAAGAGGATAGTGCAGAGGTCGGGGATATATTATCATCAATGTCAATGTCACGTTTTAATGTATTGTAAGAGGAATAGCGTGCATGTAGGTAGAACAAGTAATAAATTGAATGTTATAAAAACATCTCGTAATCGTATGTCTAGCACATTAGATCAATAATGCAATGTTACAATTATTCTAAATTTGCAGTGTCATATTTTTCATTTCGTTTAATTGCTGCTTAAAAGTCTTTTGTTTGCAATTGACAAATATTCACTCTTTTGACCAAGCAAGCATTAAAAATCAACTTTACAAACTTCGCTGCATGAATTAAGCGATCTTTAAAAAAAAGATGAAACAAAAACGTTTTAAACCTACGTGTTCATTTAACAATGATGGTTCATCTACAAATATATTCCGAAACAATTACATAAACAAGTACCGTCGAAGGAAAAATATCTTTGCTCTTTAAAAGTTTTAAAGCTATTTTGAAAGTGTTTTAAGTGTTTTAAGCCCTAATAAATACAAGACACTGTAATAGATATATTACACGAAATTAATAGCCTGGCAAGCTTTTGCAAAAACTCATATGTTTCTTCGGCATACAGTTTTATACAATAAATGTAATTTCCGAAATTATAATCTCTTGTGGAATAAAATGTCAGGAGTTTTAAAAGTTTCAAAAGCTACGAGTGGATGCAATAGAAGGTATAGTTCAGGTAGGTAGTGTAGAGGATACGTAACAGTATAATGCGCGTGATTCATGGGGTAAGGATAACGATGAACATTTTTTTTTCCATAGTTCTATCAAATAAAAATTAAACGATTACACTGAACGTTAAATCTTTATCTGCAAACAGTTTTTACCGTTTTACTATACCTTGGAAGGATCAAATTATTCGATAACACCAGCGATCGAAGTTCGATCTCTCGAAAGCATAAGAAAACATGGCCGAATATCGAATGTCGTTCTGTTTACAAGGGGGCAACGCCTTTCGCGGCGACCTAATGTTTGTATCGACTGGCAAAAAATTAAGTGACGCGAACAAAAAGGAGCGTAGTGGAGGGGCGATTATGTATTGTCTGAAGCATAGTGGAGAACGAAACAACACAGGCCCGGCCATTGTGTATCATTCGACGACGCGATACCATACGCGATGTCGAACGAGCGTGAAACGGAAAAGTGCACGTCTTGTAGACCTACGGGTACCAGTTTCGTGATGCCGCTACTCGAAACGCTGTTTCGACGAAAAGGTATACCGGAGACAAAGGCGAAAACACGCCTAGAAACGTGAGTCGAGTGTACCTCGCTTTCTGGAACCCTTCTCTCTCGAAATCCGCATTTTGTGATACATGCCGCGTGTGAGATCCTCGATCGTGTGTGAACGCGCTTTGTTGCAAGGAAACCTAGAGTTAACGCATGTAACATAGTATTAAGGGCAGTTTATATTTTCATGAACTTTACCATGGGATAAAGTTGCGATTGGAAGAATTCTTACCAGCGTAAGAATATTGTTGCGTGTGTATCCGATTTGTCGTAAAAATAAATTATTTTTGACAAATAAATTTTTGCCTGTGTAAGAATGTTGTAAAAAGTTTGTCTTTTAACAGTGTGTAGCTCTTAATTTTTGTTTTTTGATAAAGCGGTTGTTTTTGACAGTGACTTATGGTTTGTGGTTCTTTATCATTTTTATTTTTCTGAGATATAAAAGATCTGATTTGCCCGCCATTTATGAATATTTTGAACATGGAGAATTTGCATCTGCGCAATTCATAATGAGTAGAATGCAAGAAAAAATTAATGGGTTACAAAATTAATTTTTCATTGAGAGAGTAGTATCTGTGAAATAATTAATATTTTAATTGATGTTTATATGATTGAAAGATAAAATCAATTGAAAATATCAGTTAAAGTTATCAATATAGTAGTGCTGAATAATCTAGTAGTACATTAACGTGGTTGATTCAGTTTATTGGAAATTCGTATTGAATGAAACTTATATGTATATATTTATTGGTTATAAGGTTTGCTAAATGATTCTGTACATGACAGAAGAAATAGAGGGAAAGTGAGATAGTGAGACTTTAACCTCCATCAGTAGTGGCGTTGTGTAGTATTATTTGTATGCACTAATATGTAGCTCAAAATGAAATATTTTTATAATAATTTTAAACGGTCTCTATATT